ACAAAAAGAAAACAATCCTGCAAAGGCATGATGAATACCATTATCTCCATCCCTGCTGTCACAATATTGCCATCAACATTAACATAATCAGCATCAGTATCATCATCATTACCCCCCAACACTTTTCCACTTACCTGGTGGTGTCCTGAGGAGAGTAATGAATCCAGAGAGAGGATCTGATTTCAACTAAGCTGAGCTAACCTTTTTTTCAACAATGCATTTTTTTTTTTTTAAATCTGATTTTCTCTAACGTATCATCGGTTGGGTTTCTGAACCAAGTCCATCCCATCAGTAGAGGCTACTCAAAAAAGTTAAACCCCGCCAGCTCACTGTCCCACTGCCTCAGTGGTTAGAGTGCCAGGTCATTGGTCAGCTGGTTGATACAGGTGACCTCCTTGTGATGGAGGCCTAACAGGGCGGGACAGGTTGATGGGTTGATGAGGTGCTGCTGAGTGCAAAGCATCAGTGACGCCAGTCTAAGAGTAGATTAATGAAAAAGGTTGCTGATGCCTGCTATGTGCTTTAAAAAAACAGAAGATTAAAAAAAAATAGAACATGAGAATGAAAATAGCTTGAATTTTTATAGCACCTTCCAAGAGACCCATGGATGCTCTACATATATTATATGTGTAATCATATGTGGAAGTGGAAAGGGGAAGATTGACAGAAGAAGCTTCACCTATATTTGCTCATTAAGTACATAGACTTTATAATTAGTTGGCTGAACATCTCGCAAGCAGATTCATATGGAAAGCAAACTGGCTGGCATCAGCTATTCTGTACTAACTGATCTATTCAAATAGACTTGTGGTTAATAAGTAAATACCTGCTCAATTAATAACTCATTCACAGGCTTGACTTGGCGTAAAGAAATAAAACAAGGTAAGTGTGTAGAATGAGAGGAGGAGGGAGGAAAGGTTTGTGTGTGTGAGTTGCAGAACAAAAGAATAAAATGAATTTGGATGCAGATAGAGAAGACAAAATGAAAAAAAAAGGAAGAGAAATGAGATACAGGGATACAGGATGTCGGATATAGAAATATATAGGTGACTTTTACTGTATGTGCCTTCTGTTCAAAGCAGAATATTTACTATGCGCCTTTTCTTTAATCCTGAAACTCTCCACTTATTTTCTCTGCTGTATTTTCAGCTTCAATCTGTCATTCACTCTCTCCCCTCCTCATTCTTCCCTGCTGTTCGTCTTGCTCTCACACACTGAACTTTGAAGTGTGAGTGTGTGCTTTGACGTGTGTGTGTGTGTGCGCTAGGACATATTTCAGTACACGTACACACTCAAAAGTGCATCCATAGTAGTGTATCCATCAGAGTGCATGTGCATGTATGTAAATGCAAAAGATGTGTGCGTGCAAGTGAGGAAGAGCAGGCAGTGGGGTTTGTGTGTGTGTATGTGTGTGTGTGCATGTCTTGCACGCCTGCTTGCATCCATGTGATTGTATGAAAGCAAAGTTAAAGCTGCACGCACAGCAGATGACCTAAAGCCAGACACTGCTGTGTTTGGTTGAGCCTCACAGCTGAGAGGAGAGAGACCCCAGCTGACTCACTTCATACGCAGGCACACAAAAAATAGACACACTGCTTCCTGACTTCCTCACGCCTTGGTGTGTGTGGTTCAGAGATGACGGCAGGGAGGAAGGAAAACATGAAGGACAACATGAAAGAGGGAGGAATGAGAGAAGGAAAAGGGGAAAATGAAGAGTAAGGAGTGAACAGAGTGTGCAATGCGTGATCATATCGTTAAAAAGCTGAGACACTGAAAAAGACAGAAATTGTGTGATTGAGAGAAGCGGAGGGAGCTAAAGCTCTTGTTTGTACCCTGTGCAGGTAACAACATGTTCTGCCCTCTAGTCCAATAGCTGGTCTGCTGGATGCATCCAAATTAAAAAGCATATGAGTGCATCTACCTTATTATGTGCATCTCTTTCTTTTTTCCCCCGAATTCCATTTCTCCTTCTCCCTGTCTTCATTTTTTCTTTTTGCCTCTCCCTCTCTTCCCCTTTTTGTACGTGGAAATTACGACAGCCTCAATACTATGATCTGCTCAGCCATGATCAATCACCATTCATTTTTTTTAGTTCTTCCCTGAAAAGGTAGAGCACTCTTTAGATTCATACAGTCTGTCCTGTGCATCCAGTAGTCGGGATCAGGGTAAGTGTTAACATAATTTACATTCTGTTTACTGAAATAAAGTAACATTTTCTTACACACATTCCCCCTTCACATTTCTGCCTCAACTACTCTTATTTTTCAGTTTCCCTTGCTATCTCTGTAGGAAAACATGGACATATCATCTGTGACGTCTCCTGTTGGCTTTTGACAGGGCTTTTTGGAGCCAGGAGTTTGTGTTTACCACTAGCTGCCATCTTGTCAATTGTTTAGAGCCAGAAAAAGCCACATTTTGGCAACACGGTGGAGTCTGGATGGAACAGATTTTCATCAAACAGGCAGCAATCACAATGACTGAGTGTTCAAACCTGAGAGATACCTGTCAATCAAGCACACAGGTCTAGCTCCAGCCACCATGCATGGCGTGGATGGTTTGACAAAATTAAAATGAAGTGAATCAAATGCTACAGTATAACATTCACAGTCAACAGATCTCAGCCCAAATAACCTGTTGGAGATGCTTCCAAGTTTCAAAGACGTGTAGAATATGCTCGGAGCATAGAGTGGTGCAGGAATGATTCCTAAAATGCATTTCTGCTCTTCAGATTCCCTCAACTCAAAGTAGGTTAGTTTTTTGGAAATTTAATTGAAATAACGTGTGTGGTTAAGTCAAGTTTTTTTGAAGATTTTCACATTTGTGAAGACTTTCACGTTTGGTTCTACGATATAAATTTCGTCAGTAAATATCCCGCTCAAGAATCTTGAAACTTGAAGGTGTCTAACTAACTTTACAGCCTCGTTGTGGTGGCAATATTGAGGTCATGTAACTGCGGTGTACTATAAGCTTCAAAATATTATCTTGCAGAACAAAATGTTTCCAAAATCCAATGGAAAAATATGCTTTTTGTTGAGGCAACCTGGGTGATGCTGACTTTTGCATCGGTCTACCAAAAGCATCCTCCCTGCAGCATTCTGTAGAGGCTGTCCTGGTGGCTCGCTACTCAACACCTTACACAGAAAGCATGTTCTTTTTCTTTTAATTTGTCACCCATGTGTGCATTGATAGACATAAAGTACATTTACTTGTATCTGTAACTCTCAAGAGAATTTGCTGGCCTTCTGTTCAAACTGCATTTTCAGGGACATTCAGCCGTATTGGTTGCTGCCTGTTCCTTTCATGCTCACGGCCCCTCTCTCCTCAATCTCCAATTCATCTTTTCCTCCACTTTTATTTATATATTCCCCCTCTCTCCCTCTTTTTCTGTGGTAGCCTGGGCTAATTATTACATCCTTCTAGCACTGAACTCGCCCTGTGTAGGAAGTGTGGCCGATTGCCACCGGGTCTAACACGGCATGGGGGATGGGGAATTGAACAAGCATTGGCCGTCAGAGCTGGTTAGCTTCACAGAGCTCCTGTCACAACTACACTCACAATACAACCTGTTTACTACCCAGCCCCCCCCCCCCCCCCCCCCCCCCCCCCCCCCCCCCCCCTGCAATTACCAGCTCCCCAGAAGGGGCCAAGCTGGCACCTGGGGAGAACCAACACTATCAGCAGAAAGGGAGGAGGAAGTAGGAGGGAGGGATGTATGAAGGGGGAGCCCCATTAGGAGGCTGAGGCAGGGTGGTGTGTAAGTGACAAATCCTAGAGGAACAAGCAAAGGGCGAGCATGTGTGTGTGCTGTATCTGTGTGTGTGTGTGTATGCTTGTGATTGCATGGTTTGGTGTAGGAAATGTGATGCTAGAGGAGGAATGGCAGATCATGGTGTTGTGCTGTACATAAAGAAAAGCATAGGAAGAGATGAATTTAGCAAATGAAAGGCAGGTAATGGATGTTTAGTGTTATAGGGCCCTTGGAAAATAAGCTTTTTTCTATTAGTCTATAAACCCACCATTAAAACGATTGAATCAATGAAGGAAAGAACCCTACGCCATGGACTGATGGAAAGGATGGGTAAGGTTTTTAGGGGGCTTGGATTTAAGTAGAACCGTATCGATGTGTTGGGGATATAGTTGCTTGTGCGTCAACCTGTCGCCATGACCTGGCCCCTGACTCACAGGGACAGTGGGGCAGTGAAACAAGCAGCAGCACGGGACCCCTACAACACAGCACTGCTTCTCAGCTGTCTGTCTGTATGACAAACAATAACAAATGGCCCTTTGTAAAGCTGCAGACTGCAGGGGCAATTCAAAGGATGTGTAACAAGGTGTGAAAAGGAAAGGTTATCTCTTAATAATGAGCCGATAAGTAATTTAGATGCTAATTATGGCAGGCACTGTGAACTCTGAGCATGTGACAGAGCTAAACAGAGTCAGCTGCAACGCTGAAAACCTGATTTTCTGGTTTGGGTTTGTTGAGAAACAGTGGGTTAGGGAGCCCGTACCACCTGGACTAACTGTTATAAAAACTCTTAATATGTCCCACAGACTTCACTTTTTGTCCAGGAGTATCTGACAAAACTTCTTTTCTTCTCTAATTCCCCTCATTGGTGGGGTACACACCTGCATTAACCCTACAATAAAGCAATGGTACACTACCAGCAAAAATTTGAGATGTTCATTTTTAATGTGTAGCACCATCTTATACCCTTTCCAGATACTGCACTTCTATTTGATCTATCCTCTCCCATCCCTCTAATCCTCCGACCATGCTTTTCATCCCTTCCACCATAAGTCATCAGATACTCCTGGAAGCCATTCCCACCTGAAATCTCATCATCCGTCCAATCTGTCTTTCATCTTTCCTCTACCAATCTTTCCATCTCTCCCAATCTCGGTCTTCTCTAACAGTGGGAATAGCTGTAGTGATAGTCAGCTGTGGTCCAGAAGTGGAAGGAGGTTGTTTTTTTTTTTCCTCTTTCTCCCTGCCCACTTACACTGCACATCTACGCGGATGGACTTGATGGCAGCCACCCCCACCCCGTTGTCGGCCTTGCAGTAGTAGCGACCCCCCTGCACCCTCTGGATGCCCTCGATGCGCAGCGTCTCGTTGTAGATGGATGTCTCCTGGAACTTGTCTGATGCACTGCCTGCCGTCTTCGTCCACCGTACCTGAAGAGAGTGGGGGGAAGGGGAGAAAACGTTAAATTGACGAAGATGCTGTCGGTGGAAGCAAGGTGTAGCAAGGACAGAATCAGTCAAAGTGTAGTGTAAGAAAGTTAAAACGGCAACGGAGAGAAAGACAAGCAAGGTAGGCTTTGACATTTGATTTCCCAAAAAACCTAAAAGATACACAGTAAACAAATGCTGTCAAACTACTCTGTATCAAAACAAATATTTATGTTTAACAACCGATAATCACACCAATAAAAATGAAAATTAAAAGTTACATTCTGTTCTTATTTCCTAACAAAGAAAATGAGTGACACATATTTCTTTGATGGTCAATTTATATCCTTGATTGAATACGAAAAGCAATGTGGTACTGAACTTCAGAGTCTATTTCTCTTTTGCACCTTTAACCACATTCAGCAGTTATGTTACAGTGTACTGAAACACCTTGGATGGTAAATGATAAATGGACTTACAGTTGTATAGCCCTTTTCTATTTTCAGACCGCTTAAAGTGCTTTTACACTATGAATCACATTCAACCATTTACTCACACACTGGTGGCCGATGCTACCATACATGGTGCCACCTGTTCCTCAGTAACCATTCACACGCACTTGCACACCAATGGAACAGCCATCAGGAGCAATTTGGGGTTCAGTATCTTGCCCAAGGATACTTTGAAATGCGAACTGGAAGAGCCAGGGATCGAAGGGATCGATCTGATTAGTGGACGACCCACTCTACCTCATGAGGCACAGCCACCCTGGAGTACAGTTAAAGCCAACTATCTGTCCAAGGTAACAGGCCAACATCAGTCATTTTAACAGATGGCCAAAAACAACATATTGAATGTTTACGTTCAGCTGGTGGCTTTACGACCTGTGATTCTCGTCCATTGAGATTTTTGTGTAACTGTGATGTGGAGCTACAAAGTCAGCACAGGGAGGGAGTTGTCGCGGTTGTATACGCCCATTTTGACATGGTGATCATCTGTTCATTTCCAATTTCCTACCCACAATCAATGTCAGTTTACTTTATAGAAACACTTCACACACAAAATGATAATTTGTAAATCAATTAGTCATGCCCTGTTGTACTTCATAAAGAAAACTTTGTTTTTCTCACATGCCTCAAGCATAGTTATTTATTGATTGATTGAAGACTGCATTTAGCAACAGCAAAACTACATCAAAACATCCGTTTACAAACCCTCACACAACTCGTGTGACTTCCTAACACACGCACTTTCACTAAAAAACCTTGGTATTGGAGTCTGATTTTGAAGAGAGCGTAATTACGTTTGACTTTCAGTTCAGTTTTAAATAGTAAGGGTTTAGCGAAATGCATGTGTTCGGGAAGTACTGAACGTAAGACTAGATAAATGAGACTTGGGTTATACTGCACAAGTTGTGTAATCATTTGTAAACGGATGCTTTGATGCAGTTTTGTAGTTGTTAAACATGGTCCCCAATCAATTAATAAATCAATATGGTCACTGTTTTCCATGGAGGCATGCAAGAAGACCAGGTTTTCCTCATGAATACAAGGTATCACAGCATGGCTAATTGAATAACAAATGGTCATTTTATGGGTGAAGCATTTCTTTAACCATGACCGATTCTTCACCAAAGGTCCTCTATTCTTAACATGGTTGAAGTTTTAGCCCAAAATAATTCCCTAACTTAAACCAAGCAGTTATGTTAAGCCAAACTATGCTCTTTCCCTAACACTGACCACATCATTTCAGAGCCTGAACCTAATGACACCTGAACCATAGCATTGTCAAATCACAAAAAAGTTCTATTTTTGCAGCTGTGATGGACAAATTACATCGTCCTAATGCTCATAGCATAGTGTCAGTCTGAAAGGCAGTTAAAAGGTATGTCTATATAAAGAATATTCGGTCACCACATATAAAAGAAGAAAGTGCATGAGTGAGACAGACAGGAAAAGTCTTCATCTCACTCGGCAGGTCATTAAATCTAAATAACTGGAATAAGTCCGTTCAAAATTAGAAATGCAGTTATGACGTTCTTTCTCGGTGATAAAATCTCTGTCTGCTCCATAGAGTAGAAGTTAATGACACTAAGCGCTGTACTCATGGCGTCCATGATGCTAAACTCAGACCATTAAGAGTTTTGACAAACTCTATATGGCTTTTTCACGCCTCAATTATCCCATCAAGCCGTGGGAATGCTGCACGGCCGACAGCTACATGATACTTTCACTCTATTAATCAAATGCACAAACACACACATACACTTTGGAGATACATGAAAGCCTGTAAACTCATCAGCACTGGAATGTTATTCTCTCAGTGTGTGTGTGTGTGTGTGTGTGTGTGTGTGTGTACAGTCCATTAATCCCTATTAACCCTTCTGTCTGTTATCATCCTCGACAAGACTATCAACCATGTCCTGTTGAGGAGGTCAGAGAGGATAATGGGCAAAAGCCACTGATACGGGGTGCGTCTATGTTTGTGTGTGTGTGTGTGTGTGTATATGCGTGCATGCAAATGTTTGTGCACAGAAGTGTGTGTTTCCTGTTTTTATGCACAGTTGTCTGCTTGTGTTCCTGGATATGTACACGGTATCAGTGTACATATTCACTCCTGTGCGCCTCTGAGTGCGTGTGAGTGTGTGTGTGTTGGTTAGAAAGCAGGTTATATGGATTAGCAGATTATCAGGGTCTGTGTAAACGCTCCCTGCCTGTTTATTCAGCTCTGTTTGTGGGAAGGATTTGGAGGAGGCAGACTGCCATTGATCAAACCAGCCAAGGTGAGCAATGAACCGAACCCTGTCTCTCCATGGTTTAGTGACTCCAGTTTGCATGCATGTGTATGTGTGTGTGTCTGTGTGTCTGTGTGTATGAGAGTGTGTGGATCTTTGTGAGAGAAAGAAAAGGAGAGAGTGAAAGTGAGCATGAAGTGTGCATCTGTGTTTTCCTGCTTTTATCCTTTCTAGTCAAGGATTAAAAGATGAGTGAGAATCTTACAAATAATGGACATTTTGTTTGCTCTCGCTTTGGAGAGGGAGTGTTTTAGAGTTATTCATAGGATTAGAGTTCAGAAAACATTAAGATTAGGTTCAAGTTCAGAAGAATTTTAATGGCAAGATTATGTGATAGAGGCTTTGGCAGGGGTGGGCCCGTGGGGTGGGGAGGCTTCTGGAGAAAGCGGACCCCCCTAACAATGTGTTTGGCAGAAAATGGGCCTTTGAGAGTAACTTTGTTTGCCACCTCGGAATTGAACCTGTGTCCAAAGACCTTGGTTTAAATTTAAAACTGTGTGATTTGAGATGTGCCCTCAAAAAGGCAAACTATGGTTTTCTTTCTTTTTTCTCATTTTGTGGTGTAAAATTGTGAGTAGTATTCTATGAAAAAGTATACATTTATTGTTCATTAATTAAAAAAAACTTCAAATTAACTGTAAAAAATGATTCAACAAAAAGTCTTATTTGCTTGTTTTTTTTTATCATATACAGATATGCAATATGATTGCTGGGGAATATGGATGTCTATGTTGTCCAGTGACAAGTCTGATATAATAGAGGTGATATAATATACAGTTGGTAGCTCAGGCTCAAAATCTGTTAAGACTGACAAGCTGAGAAACGTATCCTCAAAAAAACGTTTGTATATTGTCCTACAACAATGCACACACAGCAGTCCATATCCTACATATTAGCATCCCACAGATGACGTTACATCCTCAAGGTAAAGTTACAAAGGTTAGGTTCAGGCGATTTAAGTTACTGTGTTTAGGTTTAGGAGAAGAAACATGGTGAGGACATACTCTAAAATGACTCAAAGTACATAGGATTCCGAATACCCGGCTCTGAGGGAAAGTCCTCTGGGAAAGTCTGGTGTTTTGTGATCCATTCACCACCCCAACCTGCCGAGCCTGATTTCATTCCAAAGTCATCGAAATCCAACGCTTGGGCAGTGACTTGCGGCATCAGAAACCAACAAAAAAAGGTGTCCTTTAACATCTGCATGATACTCAGCCAGTGGCTGTTATAGTTTAACAATGCCCGGCTGCATCAGTCAAAAACGCAGTGGGACAAGGATGAAAGTTAAGGCAGCGAAAGTCTGACTGGGGCTGGCTGGAGTGGTGGCAGATGGGTCCAACAAACACTGATTTTCACCCGAGAGAGCAATGTTTGTGTCCTGTAAGACTCTAAAGCCAAACCCCGGTCTTTTTTCCTAAACTTACCTACGTGCTTTTATTGCCTAAACCCAACCATGTGGTGTTGTTGCCTAAAATGTCAATTCGCAGTGTTGTACTGACATGGTGCGTTTATTAAATTTCCTGTGAAAACGAAAGTGTCATATATGGACATGGAAAGTCCATGACTAAACATCAATATGTGAAGAGGTCGGAGTGAGAATGCGTTGACCTGCCTCCTAACTGACTGCTTGGGGCCGCTTCCTTGTTTACTCCCATCAGCGCACTGGTCACGTGATCGCAGTCTTTAAAATACATGGGTTTGCACAAATTACTGACTGATGATTATGTGGGATACGTACAAATTTGGGAGCATTACTTTTTGTCAGAAAAGAAACAGTTTATGAGAACAACCTGACCAAGACACGTTGTTGTTAAAATATATATATACATCTAATGCTATGTGTGTGTCCTTCATAACTAGTAACTAGTGTGTACTAGGGCCCGTAATGATGGGCTTTGAAGCGGGGGAAGTGAAATCATGATATATTCAAGTTAAAAGCCGTTATGGCATGCTTATTGATGTGTCCTTCTTTTGTGTATATACAGTACAGGCCAAAAGTTTGGACACACCTTCTCATTCAATGCGTTTTCTTTATTTTCATGACTATTTACATTGTAGATTCTCACTGAAGGCATCAAAACTATGAATGAACACATGTGGAGTTATGTACTTAACAAAAAAAGGTGAAATAACTGAAAACATGTTTTATATTCTAGTTTCTTCAAAATAGCCACCCTTTGCTCTGATTACTGCTTTGCACACTCTTGGC